GGGAGAGAGAGAAGCATCAATTTCTTGTTCCGCTTATTTATGCATTCATTGGTTGATTCTTGTAAGTGCCCTGACGAGAGATCAAACCGGCAACCTTGGCGTATCAGGACGATGATCCTGAGTTACCCGGCCGGAGCTTGACCTGCCATTTCTTTTTTTTTTAAAGGACTCGTTTTCTGTTTTTTTTGTGTGTGTGTTTTAAATATATCTTCATTGATTTCAGAGAGAGGAAGGGAGAGGGAGAGAGAGAGAGAGAGAGAGAGAGACATCAATGATGAGTCATCATTGATCGGCTTCCTCCTGCACGCCCCCTACCTGGGCATGTGCCCTGACCAGGAATCAAACCACGATCTCCTGGATCCTAGGTTGATGCTCAACTGCTGAGCAACGCCCAGCTGGGCGACCTGCCATTTCTTAAGCAGGGCCCTGGCATCAATCAGAACTTGGCAAAAAAGGTCAGGAGAGTCTCAGGGACAGAGGAATTTATCTGTCACCCTTTATGGGCGTGGTGCAGCATTCTTTTGGGTCCCTGACCTACTTTCATTTGATCAACTCTTACTTTTAAAAATTGTCTTTAAAAACAATTTTTAGGAAGGTCACCCAGATCTGCCCTGTGGAGGTTAGGAAATTGATGACTGGCTTCTCTCTGTATTCCAGCTGTAGAGTCCCATCCTCCCATCCCCCCTCCCCCCCATGTCCCACTCCTACCTGCCACCTCAGTTTACATATTACGTTTGGAAATACCTCTCCTACTGTTGGCCTCATCGTACTTGCTGTTGGGGGGTGCCTTCCTTATACTCCCAGGAGTGCCTTCCACTTGGGGGTTAGCAACTGGGTTCCCAGCTGGCTTTAGGGTCCTACGAGTATCAGGCTGGGAATTAAGGTCCCTTTCATTCATCACCTGAAAGCAAGATGGAGCTGCAAGGTGTGACTAAATGGCTCTGGCCACCAGGGGGTGCTAGTCCCACTGGACTATATAATGCCCAGGGCTTTAAGGTGGGAATGAAATAAGAATTTCTGTAGAAGTTTCAAAAGGTTGTTGTGGGGCACAGGACTGTCCATCCTCGAGCACTGCTTCATCCATGACACTTTTCTTTGTTGCTCTTACCAGCCTGTGGGCCGAAGCTGACCAACTCCCCGACAGTGATTGTCATGGTGGGCCTCCCAGCCCGGGGTAAGACCTACATCTCCAAGAAGCTGACTCGCTACCTCAACTGGATTGGCGTCCCCACGAAAGGTGAGGCCGTGACCCAAGGCTGATAGTCACACTGCGTGCTGCAGTCCTGCTCACCAACCTCTCCCCCCCCCCCC